CACGGGAACAGCTAGTTGTAAATAAAAATGCAATTAATTTCGATCGAGGATGTAATGCAACTTTATCAAAGGCCGTAAACGCATTTTCCGCCATCGTGTTTTCGCCGCTCGTTTGTTTCCCGAATAAAAAAACCTAAGACAAACGTAAAATGACAATGAATGAAAAGAATGACTTTTAATTAAAATATGATTTTCCTAGAGGAACACACTAATATTATAAAGATTTGTATTTTTGTATGTATTGAAATAACTAAAAAACTACTGAGCCGATTTCAAAAATTCTTTCATCATTAAAAAGCTACCTTTCGAGTAACATAGGTACATGTATTTTTTAATTTCATGCGGACGAATTCGCGAGCAACAGCTAGTTTTATGATAAAGTTAAGAAGTTTATTGAAATGATCAGTAAGAAATGTTACTTTTTGTTTCAAGTTCCAAACCAATGCGTAATTAAATTACGAATACATTATTTTTTCTGCAATAAGGCGTTAAAGCTTAGCACTAATTGACAGACTGAATATATTAATAATTCAATAACGTACGTGTTATTCAAATTGGTCAGCTGTTTTGATATAACCATTATTAATTGACATCTCATTTAGATTATAATGATCAGCATTTAGTGTCTAAGTAAATTAGAAATATAATGTAAGTTATATAACGTCCACATGTATACCAAGAATTTTGTAATTAAACATTGACTGTAGTTGACCTACAGTGGTGACCTAGCTTTATTTTTTGTTACAAACGAAGGTCGTGCATTTGCATGACTACGATATTTCTGTAATAATAGACTTTGAATATATCATAGTACTAGTTTTCGCCCGCGACTCCATCCGTGCGGAACTAAAAAAACAAAAGCAAGTAGTCTATGTGATCTTACAAATTATGCTCAAGATCTAAACCGAATTTCATCCAAATCTGTTTAGGCTACAAACTCTAACAAACATCCATCCATCTAAACTTTCGCATTTATAATATTATGTAAGAAGTAAGATGGAAATCGGAACAATTAAAGCGCCTGTTACAATTAGATACTTCACTGAAAAAAGTTTTTTGCCCGCAAGAAAAATGAATATAATTACTAGCAATATTTTATTGGTATATATTATATCTACAATTATAAAGTATAAAATGTCAGAGAACGCAAAATGTAAATATAAATGCTTCACGACAGTGTAAACCTACAATTTTATCGAAATGAATGCACTGAGAATAAGACACAGGAATGGGCTCGACTTTTATTTACGATCATAAGTCACGAACAAGTCATAAACATCCATACACGCACTGCTCAGCTGAGGGATCTCTTAACATTGGTTTATGTGGCAGCTGTAAATTTAAAAAAAATATTGATCTATATAATCCGACCGACATATCTTGACATAACAAAATTGACATCGGTATTTTTTACTTGCATTACAGCTTTTACTATTTAAAATTAAAATAAGGCAAGTCGTTTTTATTTACCTGGTATCGTTTTTCGATTATTATTACTTAGTTTATTATCTTTACTTCTATACTATTATTTTAAAGTGTAAACACACACTTCTTTGTTGCCTAAAATCTCAGCAATTACAGCATATTTTTTAATATTTTTTTTAATAAAAAGCCCTACACTTACGTCACGCTTTAGGCTATATATTTTAACGCCATTAAACTTATGGGGTAAATATTTTGGATAAAAACCCTAATGTGGGAAAGAGACCATAAGTTGCTGCGAAAATCAAGGAAGCAAGGTTGTCATGTCATGTCATTTTGACATTTGTAATTAATAATTTGACAAATGTAAACAATAAAATAAAATTTTCATAATTTCATGCGGATATCGCACGGGAACATCTAGTCTATTATATAAAGATGGCGCTGTTAATAAGTCACGCCATCTTCCTTATTGAAATAAAAGGCATTTTAATCCAATTAGATTTTGTTGATACATAAATTAATATTAATTACAGTTAATTTTCGAGAAATGTCATAGGACATAATTAATATTCAAAAGTATTTGTGAATAAATCGTTCTATTTTATTGCTTGTATTAATTCATCAGGAATTTTCGGCGTAACGAAAAATATCAAAGATGATATTTCCTGGTTGACATAAATTAAATATTACAATTTAAATAACAATTAACTTAACCTTTTACAAATGGCCGGATACATAAATCTTTAACTGTTATAATGGTTTTTGACATCCGGTCGCATCTTTTTGAAAATACAAGTTCAAATTTTAACAAGAATTTAGTAAAGATCAAGGTAAATTATGGGTAATATATTTTTATTTCCAATCCAAGTCTTATTATAAAAACTATATTGAAATATAATTATCATAAATGCCTCTGTTTGTTATTATTATGAGTTTTTTATATATCAAGCAATTTGTAATTCCAGAGTTTTTGTCTAATTATCTAGGTTATATTTTGAACATGTATGTATTTAAGGAAATCTATGAATTTTTATATTTTTAAGGTCTCAATAAATGAAGAAAAGCATAAATGCAAATATCCCTTGTATATCAAGATTAAAAGATACGTTTATTATATTTGGCGCCGGGCCACCACTTATTAACCGTACTGTACCATCTGTGTGGACAAGAGTACTTCATTTTAACATAAAAATGTGAACGCCTCAAGTAAAAAAAATAAATGTAGGTATGTATATACTTTACAATAAAAGCTTAACATAAATAAGAAAACAAAACAAAAACGTTGGTATTTTAAGAGCAGGCGTACACCTTTGACTAAACATTTGCAAAACGGTTGTGCGATTGTCGATTTTTCAACTGTTTAGTTGCACAACTAAAACTTAGTAGGAGCACCTCCATATAAGCTTATAAGAATCAAAGCGAGACTAAACAGTTGTGCGATGTTTTAGTCTAAGGTGAGCACGCTCTTAAGTTGTAAGTAATTGCATATTATGTAGTTGTTATAAAGTACGCACCGCCCGCTGGCATCCGAAATAAATTAGCAATTACTGTAAACATTGCCAAAACATGTTTTATTGTCTGTCTCTATCTCTCCCTATAAATAAACTGAGACCACTATGTTATTTTAAATGTTTCGGCAATGAGAACTCTACACTGCAATTCTTGCATTAAATATCGCTTTTTACATAATTGTTGTTGCCTTAATTGGATTCCTCTTCATTCAAAAATTAATGTTTATTTTTACTGATTTATGGACACGTAAGTAATTTGGTAGATGTTAAAAGCTATTTACATACAAAACTGATGCATTTACAATTGTATCGACATCGAATTTATGAAAGAATGCTAACAAACAACCATTTATAGTTTTATATTACAATAAATAAATAAACGTGAATAATACTTCGTAACCTCATGTTTAGTGAATTTTAAATCATGTCGATTATTTAATTTTCGTCTTAATATTACAAAAATCCGTTTCGCAATGATGAGAAATGGCGGACTTGGAAGTCATTACTTTTTTTTAAAAGATTTTTTGGTTGCAAATATTTAATGGCCAGTCAGTTTTGTTGCCATATGAAGATAAAAGTAATTTAAAAATGTTTATTAGTAACTCTTTGGAGAACATTATTACAAGCATATAAATTTGATAACAAAACGATTTTCAAAATAACCAAGCAGACGGTAAAATAAGCAATATTTTATGAACGTCTTTTTAGCTATATCATTTAAATTCAAACTGTTTTTATCGATTATTAGACCTTTTCTTTTTTCCCTTTGACCTCTATTTTAAAAGGTTGATTATAGTTTTATGACTAGCTTTAATTTAAATTTGATTTTCTTTTTTGTTACTATTATTCTATTTTCAAAGGTCACTTAAGTTTTTCTTTACACTTAACCTCTCACTGTTTTATTTTTATCATTGCAACATATTTTATGTTGAAAGTAATACCTTTTTATATACGTGTATGTCTTATTTTAATGTCTTGTGTACTTAAAAGAATGTCCATGAGTGTCCAATGTACATCTATACTAATATTATAAAGAGGGATTATTTGTATTTTTGTATGTATTGAAATAATTCAAAAACTATAGGGCCGATTTCAAAAATTCTTTCACCATTAAAAAGCTGCGTTATCAGCGAGTAACATAGGCTATGCTTTTATTAGTTTTTTCAATTTCACGCGAGCGAAGTCGCGAGCTACAACTAGTAATACTTTTAAATAATGAATCTTTTTTCTCAACATTCTTATAATTAACTTTTAATGTACGAAAAACAGTTGCACAGTAATTTTCTATTGAATCGTTACGGTTGAGGGAGAATACTATAAAAACCTTGAATCATCCGAAGCCCTAAATTAATCCAAGCAACTTCCTTACATTTGTTAAATACCGAAACAACTGAAGGATAAAATGTATCCATTGTTCTGTTGCGAATAGTTTTGTAAACAATGGACTTGCACGATCATATTTATCTCAATAAATCACTTCCATAGAAGCAGAATTTAAGGTATTCTGACTACCTTCATGGAGGATGAAATAATTGGGACAGATCGATATTTTGCAAACGTTGAGTAACAACATAATTCTCACAATGACTATGCAAGGAAAAAAATCCGAGAAAACGAATTCTCTGATTCACTCAGGGAAGAATAAAACAAAAAATAATACACGAATCTTTATCGAAATTAACTCTCAAATAGGCATTTCATTTGTCACAGTACCTTTATGGTACTCTTACAACATTTATCGTTTCTGCATTTAATACTGTTTCATTAAGATTTTTCTTATTGGTGTAGCAATCTAATGAGCCCTTCAATCCTTCCACAATCGAAGGTGAGAAGGGAGAATCAGATAAAAATGACATCGATATCAATTTCTCTTAATACTTTCCTATCTATACTTCCTAACCGTACTACCTACTGCCGTGACATTCTATCATTACGTATTGTTGTCTCTGTTTTACTCAAGAGAATGTGAGGGATGACAATACGGAATACAATTATCACAGCAGTAGAAACCTACGGTAAATAATCCGCGCAGTCATTTTTATCTGTTTTCTCCTTTCTCCACAGGACCGAGAGAATTGGCGAGACAGAACCAAATCACGACACAAATATTAGAAGCTTATATCCAGAAGAAATTGGGCTTAGCGAGGAACACCAATCCTTTACTACGACCACCGTCTATCTTTGATATAATACCAGCGAAGAAACCTCGTGAGGAAAGACCAACGAGGCAACTATCTATTCATGAAGAAAAGGAAGAAGACCCACCAGAAATCGAGGAAGATGATGAAGGGGAAACTGAACCTGCAGCGGTGGAGGATGAAGGACTGCAAAGCGTGGAGAGTGAACAGATCGACTCAATTTACTCTGAAGGCACGTAGTTGAAAAATGTATTATTATTGTCACTAACAAACTACTGTAAAATACTTTTTATTATTCACCAATTTTATACCATAAGTTTTATCGTTAATAACTACAGGATTATTCTACAGTTTGTACAGCAGCGATGTTACACAGAGTAATAATTTTTATAAATACAGAGGGATTTTTTCTGTAGACATAAAGAAGGATGCGACATGTCTGTGTTCAACACAAAGGAACTCAAAGTCCTTAAACCCGGAATGAAGCGCAGTAGACGTGTTTATAGCAATAAAAAGACACAGAAATTCATCCTTTTTTGTTCGTTGCATTTTTCTTGAGCTCTGATCCGATTTAATTGGTTTTAATTCATTTCCTTTGCGTTACGTTGTTATATCTTACCGAATACAAATAGACAAAATACTTTTAGTTAACGTATCGAAAATATGTACAATTTATTAAGTAATCCCAGTAGTAAGGATAATACACACGTTTCTTGCTTATTCTCAACTTATGCTAATACTGCATGTAACAATAATTATATAACTAACTTAACAAGAATCTTGTTTCTCTTATTTTACCTACTGAATTTATAATCATTAATATATTATCTAGCATCGTAAAGGTCATTGTCATAAAGTAAAAGACTAGGTTTAGAATAAAACAAACTATCAGCCTTTTTAATTCTTTTATGTTTTGACCTTAAAGAATCTATCTTTTTGTCGTTAAGTTACTTTTTATAAATGCAACATACAAAATTTATTTGACTGTTGTTTTTTTAATTACACTTTTAAACAACAGATTTATTGACAAAAAAATATTACTAGAAATTATGTTTATATACTAGCTTTTATCCGCGAGTTCGTCCACGTAGAATGAAAATATTTATCAGTAAACTATATGTAAAGATTCTAATATAAATCTTTGCCAAATATCCAGTTCTTTTGAGTCGTAGTAGTAACAAATCTCCACCCATCCAAACACACACACCACACTATATCTATACTATTATAATAAAGCGTAAACACACACTTCTTTGTTGCGTAAGATGTCAGCAATCCCAGCATATTTTTGAATAATCCCTTTTTTAATCAAAAGCCCTACACTTGCATCACGCTTTAGGCGACATATTTTCACGCCATTAAACTTAGGGGGTAAATATTTTGGATAAAAACACTAATGTGGGAAAGAGACCATAAGTTGCTGCCAACATCAAGGAAGCAAGATTGCCAAGGTTTGTCATGTCATGTGATTTTGACATTTGCTATTGCTAATTTGACAATTATGAATAATATAAAATTTCCATAATTTCATGCGGATGAAGCCGCAGGAAACAGCTAGTTGTATTATAGAGATAAAATCAAAGTCAATATTAATTGATGTAACTATTAACTGTTAATTAATTTTCCTTTAATGCAAACCAGATATCTTCAAACTCATCTATTATCGAGTACATTTGGTTAAATATAACATTAATATAAAAACTCTATGCAAATAACCTAATTTCTATACGACATCTTGCATATTAATATAATAGTATCGTCTGAACAATTTCATACTGACCTTGACATACAGTCACATAATAAATCAAGATTCTCTATTGGATGGAAATGTCAGATATTTTATAATCGCTATATTTAACGTGAAAATAATTTATGACGCTTTTCATAGTTTGGTTAAATCATACTAATATTATAAATGCGAAAGTTTAGATGAATGGATGTTTGTTAGAGTTTGTAGCCTAAACGGCTGAACGGATTTCGATGAAATTTGGTAAAGATGTAGAGGATAGTCTGGAAGAACACATAGGCTACTTACTTTTGTTTTTTTTTTAATTCCACGCGGACGAAGTCGCGGGCGAAAGCTAGTTGATTATATTATCAAGTTTTTTTTTTTACAAACAACATCCAGTTTTTGACTGACTTCCCAAAAGAAGGAGGTACTTAACTCGTCTGTATGATTTTTTTATATGTGTGTTACGGCATAACTCCGCCGCTAGTGGACTGATTTTGATATATTTTTTTTTATCTGAAAGGTAGTGCTTGCAGGTTTGTCCCATTTTTTCTTTTTTCTAATGAAGTTCACTTACATTTATCTTAAGATAAAACATCTTAATAGCAATTCACAACATGTGTCAAATTATATTTTTCTTAGATTACTTAACTATTTTTTAATAATTAGTTTTATTTTTCTTTTCTCAATTCGGAAACAAGTATTTCGCAAAAAGGAATCTGAAGTTACAAAAGGAATTAAGGTATAATTCTTTTCAAAAATCTTAATGATCCAAGATCAGCTACGCGTTGTCCAGTGACCGTCGCATCACTTTACATTTCGCTACACCTTTTTTAATTGAGACTATGGTTCGCTAGAACATGACACTTCTATAATTTCCTGATAGTTACAAAGTAATTATTTCTTTCGCTACATTTAAAAGTATGTTCTACGACGGCTCCTACGATTTTCCGAGCCGCCAAGATATTTGACAACTACTATACGAGTAGTATGTTACTAATAAGATAGAAAGTTTCATGTAATTTATTCGTTTTAAGATAGCATATGTTGAAATATCCTTTAATTTTTCATTTAACAGCTTCAATAATTTTATCTGTAATCTTACTAATATTATAAATGCGAATTTAGGATGGATATTTGTTAGAGTTTGTAGCCAAAACGGCTAAATGGATCTCGACGAAATTTGGCATAGATGTAAATTATAATCTGAAAGGATACATAGGCTACTCACTTTTGTTTTTTTTTTTAATGCCATCCGGATAGAGTCGCGGGCGAAAGCTAGTAAGCTATAAATAAAGTAACGGAATGTATAAAAACAAATTTGGTAATGAACTGTGGGAGTGATGTTATATTTATGTACAGTTTACGTAACCAACATTGACATTTGGAATGAAGATGAAATTCACATTTGTGATTTAAAAAGGTTAGATCTGTTAAAACAGATTCGCATAGTTTGTGCAATTAAGTTAAGACGCTTATTTAAATATGCAATTAAACTAATCTTAATCTATTCTTAATATTGATTAATGATATTATCGAAAAAAAATAATTATGTATTGATTGAATCATAGGAAAAGATTCATGTAACCTTTATGATGTTATTTAGACAATATTTCAGTCATTATATTAGCTTTAACTCGTGACTTCCTTCGTGGGAAATTAAAAAGAAATGTAGTCTGTTACTCGGTCGTAATGTATTTTTAGAGTTTATTCATTACTAGCTGTTGCTCGCGACTTCGCCCGCGTGAAATTGAAAATATGTATAGCCTATGTTACTCGCAGATAAATTATCTTTCTAACGGTGAAAGATTTTTATAAATCGGCCCAGTGCTTTTTGAGTTATTACAATACATACAAAAATACAAATCTTTTCTCTTTATAATATTAGTATAGACATATAATAATACAAGTTTTATTTATTACGAGTATAATCTTATTCTATGTGTAGAGCAGAGTAATATGGTGTTGAGCTAAGATCTATGGCGTAGCAGTAAACGAAATGTAATAAACGCTTTTGTGCAATTTTCGTAAACCTCTGGAACTACATCATTATTATCTTTTTACCTTAATTTAATCAGCTGAAATGTTTAATTAGTGGTTACTAAATATGTTACTAAGTGCATACTGATCGCAACATCTCTGTGCAAAACTCTATTACGTTGTATACACGAGGTTGCGTACTTGTTTCGATACAGTTGGCCGACTTTACGCGATCTTCTAAGAAATACTTTGAACTACCCGTAACTGTGAGTTCAGTATATTAGCTCTTATGAAGTACAGCTAGTGTCCGCGACTTCGTCCGCGTAGATTAAAAAAAACTAATGTAAGTAGCCTATGTATTCTTCCAGACTATCCTCTACATTTATACTAAACCAACTTTCGCCCATTACAATGACCGCGTGAAATTAAAAAAAAAACAAGAGTGAGTAGCCTATGTGTTCTTCCAGACTATCTCCTACATTTATACTAAACTAGCCTTCGCCCGCGACTCCGTTCGCATGGAATTAAAAAAAAAAAAGAGTGAGTAGCCTATGTGTTCTTCCAGCCTATCCTCTACATTTACACTAAACTAGCTTTCGCCTGCGACTCCGTTCTCATGGAATTAAAAAAAACTAAGTATCCTATGTGTTCTTCCAGACTATCCTCTACGTCTATGCCAAATTTCATCGAGATCTTCAGCCGTTTGAGCCACATAATCTAACAAATATCCATACATCCATTAGTATGACATAAGCAACAAAGAGCACGTGTCAAACTTCTTCATCACAGACATGAGTTTTTCGTTGTCATTTGAATTAATTTTCGTTTCTATCAGATTGTCTCGACGTTATTAAAAATGAGAATAGAATAATTTACATTTATTAGGAGGTTTTATAGCTTGATTGATATTTCCTTTAAAAATAATGATAAAACACTTTTTATTTATCTAATTATGTGTCACTAATCAACTGGCAACTGTATAATTTTTCTTATTTTTCTCTAGTGACCTATATTTAAATATGATATGAACTAGTTTTACTACTCTAAGATATTATTAGGCGTTTATTCCACTATAAAATTAGTATATTTTTAATTAACATATTAATTATAAATTGCTAATTTAGTGATGAGAAACATAACCTTAAAAATAATTTAAATAATTGATTGAGAAGTTTTGTTATTTGAAACCAAACAAGTGCTGCTTGTTGCTAAGATATTAATTTTACATGGGAACATTTTTTAAAAAATCATTAAACGAAGTACTCATTGCCAAAAAACTATTTACATATAGTTTTTTTTAACATAAATAAACCAGCGCTTCACCACGATTCCACCTAAGCTAAGTGAAGTATAGATGCGCGCTATATAAGTGACGATTCTAACCTGTTACCAAGTTCGTTAGGCAATTATTTAGTAACTTTAGTACATAATAGTCGGTGTGTGTATGAAGTCTGTTGAACCAGTTATACTCATGAACACACCCCCGCATACATTTTAATCAAACTTCTCTCATATAAAGTGCACTTTATTGAATGAATAGTACGGTACAGTAAAAGTTATCAATAGAGTTCAGTTGCAGTTGCAGCATTATGTGTCGACAGGGATCCCTGCATTACTGGGAGTAGGGGAAAACAGGGGAGGGGATGGAGGCACAAAAAGGTGCAAAAAGGAGCATCGTTACAACGAGCTGACCCATTTACGTGCATACGCGCCTACACTATACAATAGGGTTGTCGATATTTAATTTTAATATTAAAAATATTGTATTTCAATTATCATTAGTATTGGTATTTATTAACGGAATTTTCTACTGAAGGGGAATTATTGTATCGTATTTAGCAAAAGTAAGCAAATAAAATGAAAGCACAACTAACGTTAAGTATATTTAAGATATTTCTATCTTATTTCCATCAGTTATTTATAAAAATATATATAATATGTTTAAACTACTTTTTCAAATCTCAAATAATGTTTGAAATACCGTAGTATAACATCGCGGAATAATGTTGTTAATATGATGTATATTTTTACGGTAATAATTGTTGACAACCCTATATAAAGTCATCGTTCGCAGGCTCTATGCGAGTCGCGGCACTCTGCCGCCTGCAAGCTTTGAAGCGATATTATTACGCGCACCGACATTTATCGGGATCACATGTTTTTGTGTTCGCAATAAAATTCTCATTTACGTAAATATTAACTTTAAACTTTAAATGTGATTTACATAAAACAAAATACAATAAAACTGAAAAACTAACGAAAAAATATCATAATTCGCCCACATTACCATTTAACGCCAAATATCGAGGTCAAGCGCTAGTTTATATGTAAACTTAGCTGTTGCTTGCGACTTCGGCCGCGTGAAATTAAAGAAAATAATAAAAAAGATAGCCTATGTTAGTCACTGATAACATAGGTTTTTAATGGTAAAGGATTTTTTAAATCACCCCAGTAGTTTTAGAGTTATTTCAATAGATACATATGTATATCCAAGAATACAAATCTTTCCTCTCTTACTAATATTATAAATACGAAAGTTTAGATGGATGGATGGATGGATGTTTGTTAGAGTTTGTAGCCTAAACCACTGAACGGATCTCGATGAAATTTAGTATTGACGTAGAGGATAGTGTAAAAAAGCACATAGGCAACTCGACTTTGATTCATTTATTTCCACGTGAACGGAGTCGCGGGCGTAAGCTAGTATTAATAAATAGATAATATATTTTTCAATCTAGAAAATACAATACAATATTATTACTTTAAATTAAAGCTATAAATGGAATTTAAAAAGCTAAACCAAATGCTATTTTAACAATAAGTATATACTAGTAAAAGCCCAATGCAATCTAGCTGACAAAAGATAGTGAATTTTCTCTAGACTCCAGTCTTAATCGGAAGTCGGAGTCATATAACGATAAAATCAAGCCTCCGCTAAGAATTACTCGTACCGACGTCACTTCTTTGTTGCGGAAGCTTTCTGTCGAGAGCTTCGTTACAGCTTTGAGCCGAGCTTTCTGTGAGCTTTCGTTTAATTTATGCCGACGGTACTGTATGCAGAGATTTCCTTGCGGAATTTACGTTAAAAGCTAGACAAAAATAAGTAATAAGTCGGTAGAAGATGTCTGTAAATTCCTCATTAGTAAGGTACCAGGCTGAATATTTTCGGTAAAAACAGCTCGCAAGTTAAAAAACATCAACTCAATATCTCCATTGAGTCTCACTTTTTTCACATGTCTCCTACTAATCCTGCTTTTTAAGTTTCTTTTTGCAGGGGGTATTGTAATAGGCCCCTGAGTATAATATATAAAAATCAAGCATTACAAAATAAAAATAAAATTTAGTCAAATTTTTGGCAACTTTAAATCGTCTGTCTTCGAAAACGGCCCACGGAAATTGTCTGCCAATATTTGTTTAGTAATTCTTACAGTGGTCTCCAACACATATGTGAAAATCAGCTTTGTGAAAATAAGTGAACTTAGGTGCGTTTTTTACAAACTTCAGAGCGTGATAGCCCGTAACTGCCCCATTGAACAGGATAACTAATGGCCATTCAATTACATCACAAAACAGTACTACTCGTATCTAATCAGATAACAGAAAACTTTTAGAATATAGGTGTCGTCATCCTGGTCTGGGATCTCAATCTATTACTAGTATAGTATTATATTATCTATGGTTAATACTAATGAATACATTTCTTTTTGTTCCAGGTAGGAGTAAAAAATACACAAGCCCACCTTTTGAAACGGATTTGGATACAAATGATTATAGTAAGCACAAAAATCGTCTTCTTTTTGTCTTTTATGCTTTATATGTAAAAAAAAAATAAATGTATTACAAGCACCATCACTTAGCTATTTTTATAATTAAAATATTCGCTTTTTTAAAATAGTTATTTCATTTTTTCACTCTTTGTTTTAAACAGCTAAAGTCGCTCTCTAGATGCTTTACGTTTTTTCATTAATTAGTAGCTTTTTTCTAAACAACACTTGGTTTTTTAGATGTCTATAAAATTTTTATGATTCTTTTATTGGTTTTTACGGTCGTTAATGTCTTCATGTTTGTGTTTTTAAAAGACTTTTTTTTAACTTTTTATACAAAATTAAGTATTATACCGAATTAGGGCGATTTATTTTTGTCTGTTTCATAACTTCTTATTTGATTATTATGCAAATCGTAAATTATGTCATATTCCAAAAGGTCACCATTACCTACATTAGGCTATTTTCAAAAAAATGGAAAAACTTAATTGATTAAGAAGAATGCTGTTGCCATTGCCTCATACCGAGATTTATTAAATGTGTGATTTTTAGAAGATTCGTTCTTACATCGTATTATTTAACATTTTTTATGTTATTTTTCGTTAGAACTAGTTTGAAACTCTGTTGACTCAATACCTTTTTGTGTAAAACTATATTTTTGCTAAGTATCTTATGTCATCATTGGGAATGTTGTTTTATTAACATAACAAATGAGTTTTTCGTTTTTAAAACTATCAAACTTCATGTTTCGCTAAGCTGTTAACAAGAATAAAGATTATTCTTTAGTGTTTGTATCCGCATACACATTTTATATTGCGATAATCTTTCAATCTGTCTGAAGAGTATATTTGTATACTAATCAAACAGTTCAAACTGACTTTCTTTGTTTTTTTTTTTAAATTAAACGCACAGACGATATGTTAAATTGATCAGAAGAGAATTTAAAGATATGTGTGATTTCAACCAACCCACACATGGCCAGCGTTCGTGACTATGGCTTAGTCACTCTAACTTAGGACTATTCCCAACCGTCACCCAGCTCTGTCCCCATGTGGAGTCAAATAAGAATGAAAAGCTTCATCCGGCCCACATTTAGCGATGAGGGGACGGTTGGAACTTATTTTATTTCATAACGGTGCCATCAATCACGTTATTGGTGATAGTGGGACCAAAAGGTGGGACGGGTTAAAACATTTTATTCTCACGGGAGGACAGAGCGGAGTGACGGTTGGGAATAATTTCTAACTTGGAGTAGGCTCCAAGCCCCTCAGTCAGGACGTGTGAGTGACGATAAAACACCCAGGTACTACAAAGGAGCAAAGGTTACGAACAACATCCTGTTGGTCCTTCTAGTCGGATATTTTAAGAAATACAAAACATTATCGTTATAATAAACTAATTCGGTACAAACTTCTGGCCTTTTAAATAAATAACAACCAAAAATAACCTTACTAAGGTTATTTTTGGTTGTGATTTATTCGTGATACAAGATTTACAAAGTATTCAAAAACGTTGAACTTTAACATACTCCAATTTATTTAAATTGACAAAAATTTAAAGATGATATATCCTCCTCGACATTGAATCGAATAAAATTTTGTCCATTTTACTATATTTTTTTCCAGTCTGTGATTTTAATTAATTAATTGAAGCATAAATTATAACGATATAAATATTAATAGAACAATTTAGTTGTCAATATCTGTTGCGTAATCTTGAAATATTACATTACTGAATTAATACGAGAATTATAATTCAATCCATTAGTATTCATAATTATGCGAAGATTCTCGTCACGGATTTCGCATCTGAACTGGAAAAAAATTGAAGCCTTAAATTAAACGATATGACATCCGATTCGATTAAATTAGATTTACAACGTGTTTAATAACTTTAAACTACCTACAGTTTAAACTGAACAGTTGAATTGTACAGTTAAATTAAGCGTACGTAAAACGTTGCATGTATACAAAGTTTTAGTTTAACTGGTAGGTTAATCTTCCATTATTTCTTACCGGAGATCCCGGAGCCCCACTTGTAGCAATAGAGGATGGCCACCGAGAGGGTAGTAGGTATAACACTACACAACCATATCTCAATCTGGGAAAAGGTACCTTTATTAAGATTTCCCCGAGAAAAAAAAGGTAAATCTTCCATTAGGAACGCATGAGGAGAGAGTACCATATACCCAGTGTGTCTTTCCCCAAGACAACTGGGATGCGTAACGCATTCTCCCTTAAAAAAAAGATAAATCCTCCACCAATTAAAAAGTAATATTGTGACAATTCGTCTTTATTAATTATGGAAGAATTTGCAACGCTCCAATAACTATACGAACGTTAAGTAAAATAAATGCTGATGTTAAGAAACCATAAGCCGATTTAAGTTAATCTATTGATTAAAACTAAGCGATAAGTGTGGACTTAACATAAAATGCAGCCGCTACTTACATAACCTCGTTGATCTATTTAACCATTCAAGCGTTTAGAGTAGGGATTTCCTCTGACAGTCGTGTGTGTCACCGTAAATATGTAAAATCTGCGTTAATAAAATACAGCTAACATTATAAAGATAATAAAGGCTTTAAATAAAAGAATTTATACTTCTATCTATACTAATATTATACGAGTAAAGAGAGAATTGTATTTTTGTACTTTTTTAAATTTCAGTAACCCAAAAAATACCATTCCGATTTCAAAAATTCTTTCACCATTTAAAAGCTTTATCGCTGAATTTATAGGCTGTATTTTTTACAATTTTTAATTTTACGTGGATGAAGTCGCGAGCAGTAACTAGTGAGACAATAATGATAATTTTGAAGTTTTTCCACCTTCATATGATTATAATGGCCAATATAGTTTTTATTAAATAAACAGTGACTACAAATTAACGACCATAAAACGAGATTCCATCGAATCTTGTCGATAGTTGTTCTGTCTAGTAAGTCATCTTTAACTATTACTTTTTGCTTTATTATACTGGTATACGGTTGTCTTCTTATTGTTTTGACTTTTAAAAGAGGTTTTAAAATGTTCGCGTAAAAAATTACTAGTATTATCTTCCTCATAGTCTTTCATTCTATAGGTTACTTTGTGGATAACATTTGTCGATGTTTGTTTTTACTTTATTGTGTTTACTGTCTTTGTCTTCTTCATTTGCCACACTTGAAATTTATTTAAAACTGGCTTTCGCCCGCGATACCATCCGCGTGGTATTAAAATAAAAACAAAGTGGGTAGCCTATGTGCTCTTCCAGACTATACTCTACATATATGCTAACACCGAGATGCGTTCATCCGTTTTGGCTACAAACTCTAACAAACATCCATATAGATGAATACATCTAAATAAGGTATTTATTTAGTAAGATAAGACTTAAAGGAGATTATTCTTTGTTAACATTATTAAGGGACATTGATAATTATTATTTCAATTAAGTTTGATACAATTAAAAAAACTATTCATTTTGTTTTATAAAACCTAACCTCAAAATGTCACTAACATCTAAAAATAAATTCAAGTCAGAATTCATCAATCTAAATTCACCCGTCTCTTGTATATCGTTTAAACATCAATGACATATAGTTTTGTTAATTATTACCTTTTTATTAGCAACAGTTAACCTTTTCATATAGTCATAATGTTACAACACGACTGCTGTCCGTCAAAGAACATACCAATAATCGTCAGTGTAAGAAATTGAAGCGCTTTTGCAAATCTCTTTCAATGCCAAATTCAACTAATTAAATTGATTACGAAACATTTTGGACAATTGTTATGTTTTTCCAATACGTAGTTTAGCTAATTATCCATTTTCTGTACGTTTTTTTATATTTTTCACTATACTAATAAAACTGAAAATTAATCTTACTAATATTAAAAATGCGAAAGTTTCAATGGATGTTTGTTAGAGTTTGTAGTCTAAACGGCTGAACTGATTTTGATGAAATTTGGTACAGATGTAGATAATAGTCTGGAAGAACACAGGTATTTTTTTGTTATTTTTTTTAATTTCAAGAGGGCGGAGTCGCGGGCGAAAGCTAGTTATTTTAATATTTCTATTATTTAGAAGACGTTATACACGCTTTCAGTTTTGTTGCTGGTAGTTTAGAAAATATTCTCCGAAAAATAAAGATAAAATAAAATTTACGAAGAAAACCGAATATTAATAAAGTCCTGACACGTAACATAATTACGCATTTCTAAGAAAAGCGTCCATAGTTATAAATATACTTCGGTCTATAATTACTAGCGAGACTGATTCAAAATTAGTAGCTATTGTTATAAAAGGGTACGATGACGTCATCCCGTGGTATGACGTCAATAACGGTTCATTGAATCATATTCAATACTAGCTGTTCCCCGCGACTTCGTCCACGCAATATTAAGATAAAATACTTTTTTTATCACTCTACTTATTTTCACTCTATAATATGCCCGTCTATGTCAGCTACCCTTCACTGATTGTCCGGTCGAAATCGCCGCAGCCGTTTCGGAGTATATCCGGAACAAACGCGGCTTACGCACAGACAGACAGACAAAAAAAATGTAAATGCGATTCTCATTATCAGCAATGCACATAGATCATCTTTCCGTAATCTGAAATTTTTCTTTTGATATTGCAAACAGACACTCCAATTTTATTATGTGTATAGACAACGTCGCCTACGTTTCTAATTATAAGTACAAAGTTATGACGTTTCAGTCCCTACTCATTCGTGTCAATGTCTAATACGTATTAGCTCCACATGAGATTGCTTTTCATTGATGAAAGGGATATATTTTACTCAATTAAGCAATATGGCATCTTATTCAGAGTTTACATTGAAACACATATAAAAACATTCACATGTTAGAATGTTCCAGAAAAATTATATTCAAGACAAATCTTTCGATTGTGACGCAATGTAGAACCTAATAATGCTGGTTGAAGATAATGATTCGAAATTCGAAATTCAAACTTTAAATTAATTGACGAGTAACTTTTTTTTAAAATTACGTTTATGGCCA